ACCGAGCGCACGACGTCGGTGAGGTTCGTGCGGGCGCTTGCCATGGCGAAGGCGGGAGAGATAAGGTGGGTAGCACGAGAGGTCGAGAGGAGAGAGTAGTGGAGTGAGAATGGTGTCTTTGATGCGATTTTATTCCAGGACGAGCTTACGAGCCGACTCTTCGGGTGAAGAGATGTTGCAAAGCAATAAACGGAGGTTGGAAGCTAGAGTTATTAATCATTGCATGCGCGCAGTATACCAGCAGTCATCGTTGATTATGACGTTGGAAGCATTTTTCAGTTGCTGAACATCGTGATCAACGGTGATCAATGATCGAGTAGTGAAACATCGTGTGACTGTTGAGTACTACAGCATTTTCGCTCGATCTTCCGGCATCGTGTGACCGTTGGTACTCGAGGAGTACTCTGTTTTTCTGTCTGGAGCATAAGACTACCCACAGTGGAAGTAACATAGGTAATAACATCACACATATCTAGATAAAATAGATGACGTGACAAACAATAAATGAAGAAATGGAGAAAAGTAGTAACATAGCTAGTTACTAGTAGTATGAGTAACATCACATATATCAAGGCAAGATGAGTCTATAGCCTAATAAATAAAGTGTTGCATGTTACCACACATATGTTACTCCCCACTATAGAGATAGTAACATAGATTAGTAACATGTGCATGTTACTAGTCTATGTTACTACCCATTGGACGTAAGCTGTCGACTGGACTCTTCACATAAAGAGGCATTGCATGCCAATAAATGGACGTTGGAGGTTGCATGCGTGCATGCAGTATACCAGCAGTCACCATTGATGATGGGGACGCTGCAAGTTGGGAATACGAAGCATTTTTGTGTTGGTGAACATCGTGTGGCTGTTGGCGTACCGCATTGACAGATCATTTGTTATTCAGCTCCATCTTGCAGCCTCAGATTCAGACCATTGGTGTTCTATTCATGCATCTTTAATTTACCCGAGGAGTCATGGTTACTACGTTTGAGGCGTACAACTACAACCTCCATAAAACCTCCACAATCATTCTCAGTTTCTCATATTGTCTCCTCTACTACTCTGTTCATTCCACTTCCCAGCTATCTCCATGGAAGATACTACCTGCACCACAAACCTCACGGACGTCGTGCGCTCGGTGCAGCTGCTCACGATCAATGGCTACTCCATGACCAAGACCATGGACAGCGACGACGGTTGCATCAAATCCAGGTGGAACGTCTACGGCTACGACTGGGAGATCCACCTGTATCCTGCAGGGCTGTCCAATCGATCCCGTATGTCTTTAGCCTTGAAGCTCGTCTTCGTCGGTGAAGCCCGTACGAGCAGCGTGAGGGCCAGCCTAGCCTGTCAGCTCGTAGATCCACAGGGGGACCTCAACCCCTCCAAAGAAGAGAGGCAAGCAGGGACATTCAAGCGCGCCCAGGACAGCTCGTCTCCCGTTTTCGTCATGGAAATGTCTGCTCTTGAAAAATCTGCCTATCTCAAAGATGATTCTTACACCGTGCAGTCCACCATCACCGTGCTCAAGGAGACACCCGGTTCAGCAACGAGCTCGGTTCATGGAGCGGACGTCCTCCCGTCCTCCGACCTGCGCCGGCACCTCGGCGAGCTCCTGCGGAGCGAGGCCGGAGCGGACGTCACGTTTCTTGTCTCCGGCGAGTCCTTCGCCGCGCACAAGGCCGTGCTCGCCTCAAGGTCTCCCGTGCTCATGGCCGAGTTCTTTGGGGAAACGAAGGAGGAGAGCTCTGCCCGCGTCGAGGTCAAGGACGTGGAGCCGGAGGCATTTCGGTCCATGTTGCACTTTGTGTACACCGACACGGCGCCTGAACTGGATCAATCGCCGGAGACGGTTGTGGTTATGGCTCGGCGTCTGCTTGCAGCTGCTGACAGGTATGGGCTGGACAGGCTGAAGCTGATTTGTGAGTGCAAGCTCTCTGACGGCATTGGCGTCGACACGGCTGCGGCGACTCTGGCTCTGGCCGAGCAGCGTGGCTGTGCCCTGCTCAAGGCCAAGTGTTTGGAGTTCATCGTCAGCACTCCTGAGATCCTTGATGCGGTCATGGCGACGGAGGGGTATAAGGAACTGGAGGCAAGCTGCCCTTTGGTTCTGCGCCAGCTTCTCAAGTCTGCACGTGGAAGAATGTGTAGCTAGTGCAAAGGTCCAAACCACTCCAGCATTTGTCATCTGTGGCAAATTTTACCTCGTGTCTTTTTTTCTCGAAAATACTAACACCTACACGTGTGAGTGCTCACAACACCATCCAAACGCGTCTGGAGCCATTAGATGAAAAAGTACGAATCTTGAAGCATGTCCCAGCCACGTCATCAACCGAGCGTTCGGTCACAAGGACGAACGTGCCGCATGACTAAACGTAGCTCAGTTGCCTCCCGCCGCCCGCACAGAGCCCACTTCCCCACCCATAGCCGTATCTTCTCCCCCTCCCCCATACTCCTCACCACCACATCTCAAATCCCTCATGGTGAGCTCCTGGACGGCGACCAACGCGAGGGTGACGACGAGGGGATGCTGGGTCGGCACAGCTCCCCATGGCCGTCGAGGGGACGAGCAGGCGGAGGTCCTCGACTACCTCAACGACGACGAGGAGATTGGGGTCGAGGGGACGTCCTCGAAACGCCCGTAGAGGAGAGCCTCGTCGGAGGCAGGATGGGAGGACCATGGTGGCTGAGACTAGAGTGAGCGGATCTGAGCTCGGCTGATGGAGCACGCCGCCATCGGGGGAGACGAGGAGCAGGGAGACGATGAGCCCAGCATCGGCGAGCTCGACGAGGAGCCGCGTCGAGGAAGGCAAGGTGGGAAAGGAGCTCAGAGGAGCCGCTCCAAGATGCGGCGGCTGCTTGGCGGTGCCTGAAGCAACGCGAACGGGCGCATCCCGCGCTGATGCGGACGAGGCTGTCACGGCCTAGCTCGAGCGGCGCTCGGCCACAGGGCCGAGATGCGGTGGCTGTTGGCGGCGCCAACGCGACGTGGACAGGCACATACCACACTGATGTGGGCGCGCCGCCATGGACCACGACCCTCCCATCCATCTTCAGGGTAACACTCCCTCCCTCCCTGTGTGCACCGACTGATGGATCTCTGCTGTTGCTACTGAAATCCTCATGTGGGTTTACTAATTGATGTAGGATGTTGCTAGATTATTGCACTATGTGATTCGTTTGGTGCCTTTAATTAATTTTGTGTAGCATCGAAACTACTTAGAATATGCTTGTAGGGTGATGAATGAGAGAGCACCAGGTTTCAGATTTGTGAACTTTTTGTGGTTTCAGACTTGTGATCTTTTTTATCTTTGCATGGCAAATTTTACAAAAAAATCCATGGCAATTTTGTATATGCATTAGCCATTGCAAGTTTTATCTCTGTCCTTGTTCATAAACAATGGCATTTTGCCACATATGACTTTTTCATGTGATTTGCCATGGCACATTCTTTATCTAAAAACATGGCAGTTCGAAAACATCGCAAATTTATAGATATTTCAAAAATATGGCAACTTAGTATGTTCAACAACACGGCAAACTTGCCATGGCAATTTTTGCCAGGTTCGAAAACGTGTCAAAGTTGTAGATATTCAAAAAACATGTTCAACTTTATATGTTCAACAACACGGCAAACTTGCCATGGCAACTTTGCCATGTTCGAAAGCATCGCAAATCTATAGATATTCAAAAAACATGGCAACTTAGTATGTTCAACAACACGACAAACTTGCCATGGCAACTTTTGCCATGTTCGAAAACATATCAAAGTTGTAGATGTTTAAAAACATGGCAACTTAATATGTTCAACAACACGGCAAACTTGCCATGGCAACTTTGCCATGTTCGAAAACATCACAAATAGATATTCAAAAAACATGGCAACATAGTATGTTCAACGACATGGTAAACTTGCCATGGAAACTTTACCATGTTAAAAAACATGGCAAAGTTGTAGATGTTCAAAAACATGGCAACTTATTATGTTAAAAAATATTCAAATCTTGCCATGTCAAACTTAACGGGCATGGCAAAAATATTTGAATTCACAAACCAAAAGTGGGATTTTTCTACATTTTCTTTGCAATGACAACTTTTTACTTTTTTGACATGCCATTTTTTCTTTTCTTTTTTTGACATGGCAAATTTATTATATAGGGCATGGCAATTTTAATTCAAATACGATGGAAAAAATTTCATTTTTTCAGAACATGATTTTTTTTAAATATATAGCATGGCAAATATACTTATGTAGCCATGGAAATTTTTACTTTATTCCCATGGAAAAATTACTCTATTTTTGCCATGGCAAATTTCACTTATTTTTTCCATGAAAAATACCATGGCATTTTTCACTTATGAATTTGCCATGCCAATTTAATCTTTGTTTGTATGATGGGAGTTGCCATGTCTTGTTTTCTTCTGGGTCATAAAAAAATATATTTTTTTTCACCGATGGCATTTTCTGCTTTTTATAAGGGCTGGTATTTTATTTTTCATATCATAGCGAAAACTGGGCTTTTTTTTTGGTTACTGGGCTCTTTTTTGGTTTCACATGAAAACGGCCTGTATGGCGATCTGGAGGCAGTTCGGGCGTTGGGGAGATTGTTCGGTCGTTGCCCCTCCAGACCGGACGTGCGGGCAGCCTCCTCCCTTGCCACACGTGTGACAGATATCAGAATCTTTTTTTTTCAGGGATTATCCCTCGTGTCTTCAATATGCTACCAGTACTATCTCTTTTTAGTTTTTAATCCGCTGAACATGACCCTGTTTTAATTGGTCAAATCTTAGTACTAGTTGTAGTTTGGAACAATCTTGTGCACGGCTGTCCAATGTTTAGCTAGAGAACGAGGTGTCCAATTTGTCCCCAACCCGAGTCGATCAGGTATATCCAAATCGAATTCTTTCCCGGATCGAACTGGCGTTGGATGGAAGGATCCATAAGCACAATGCTGACAGAGTTTGACTCCCCTGCTCTAAGTTCGTCCATCTACGACCATGGAAGCTCCGGCTCCAGATTGGTCCGAGCTGCCCGCCGACATACTGTGCGACGTGCTCACGCTGCTCGAGTGCCCGGACCTCCTCCGAGCCGGCGCCGTCTACGCGGCCTGGCACATGGCGTACTCCAGGCTACGCCGCGCCGGCATCTACCCCGTCCGCCAAACCCCCTGCTTACTCTACTGCAACGAGGCCGCCGGCGGGCTCAACGCCCTCGGCATGTACATTCTTTCCGAGAAAAAGGCATATACCATGCCGCTCCCTGAATCTTCCATCAAGAACTGGATCGGCTCGTCGCACGGATGGCTAGTCACTATGGATGACAAGTCCGAGCTGATGCTGCTCAACCCGATCACCGGCAACACTAATGTACTCCCTCGAATTACAACCATGGAGCATGTTAAACCTGTCCTAAACGGTCATGGGGTTCTTGAAAAGTATGAGGTGTTTTACTACGATAGAGAGATTCCGAGGGTGGTGGAGGAGGACACTGCTATATGGTCCTTGGAGGAGTATGGTCACATGGTCTATCTAAAGGCGACTTTATCGTGTGATCCATCGGTAGGTGGATGCATTGTCATGCTCATCCACCAGCCGTACGGCCAGCTCTTGTTTGCCAAGGTAGGAGATGACCATTGGAATTGGCTCAGCGTATGCAGCTACTACAAAGATTGTGTATACCACAACGGGTGGTTCTATGCAGTTACCGAAGAAGGCGCGATTGATGCATACAATTTACATGGACCATCTGTCATCCACAAAAGGTTGTTACCCCAAATAATCCAGACAGTTTCGAAATGTCACGTTGTTCGGGCGCAATCCGGAGTTGTCCTCCAAATCATTAGCTAGGAGGCAGCTTCTAAATCCTGATCATGAACAACCGGGCAGTCGGGAGTGGGTCACTGAAATCAAAGTGTACAGGGTTGATTTTGATGACCAGAAGTGTGTCAACATAAATGAGATAGGGGATCCGTTTCAAAAAAAAAAAGAGATAGGGGACTATGCGTTGTTCATTGGGAGCAGCACAACGTCTTGCTTAAGCGTCAAGGACTATCCAGACTTGATGCCAAACCATGTCTATTTTACAGATGACGACGATGCAACACACATTTTCCCGAGAGATGACCCTCCCGAGGTTGGAATTTACGACATTAAAAATAATACCAGGGTGAATGTGGTTCATCCTGAACTTTGGATGAATTGGTTGCCTCCAATATGGTTGACGCGAAGTCTTGCAAAAACAGATATGGTTGTCCCTTGATATCTATTCTGGAAGATGCTGGTTGTTGTATATCTCGAGCTTTGAGCAGCATTTATTATTTACGTGTTATATTTTCTAGTGCCCTCCTCATAGAATTTATAGAAATCAATTCCCCCAACATTAGGACAGTTAAAAGTTTTGCCATGTAACATTTTTTCCCTCTTGGAACATCATTATTGCTTCGTATTAGTTGTACTTTTATTTGATAAAATTCGCTTGGTTATGTTGAACTTGCAAAACGTAGTTTTCCTTGACTTGTTAGATTGCATGAATCATGACACTTTTTACCAAACCTGTAGATATTTCTTCCCACAGTTTTTTTAGGTAAATTATGAGAAGCTCTATATACAGAGTTAAAGCTATACCTATACTAGGCCAGAAAGAAATGGAACTGTACAACAAAGGCGCACACAGTACCTGGAGAGCTAGTTATGCAAAAGAATGAACCCAGACCTCAAAGTTCTCATATTTTCATCTCTTTGCCCTGTGAACGATCCACTGCACTAGTGTATTGTTTACCCACATGATCCTAGTGTATTGTTCTTTCAAATCTCTTATTGGATCTCGTATTGCGCTGGTCTACAGAGAAACGGAAAACAATAGACGCTTTGTGCCGTGGCATCACTGCTAGTTGATGTTGCGAATGGTTTCTTCAACAAAGGCAGAGGTTGGGCGTCACTGACGAGAAGACTTGGGGTAGGGCAGCTAGACCTGGCGGTACTGCTGTTTAGTTTTCTTCTGTTAGATGCTCTGTTTCAATTCTGCATCTGTATGGGCCCTGCGTGGTTTCCCTCTCTTCCATTTCAGATTTCCAGTAAGGATTTAAGGCTTGGTGTTAGCTGCCTCGGCACCCGACTGGCTGTTTTAAACCTTGTTTATCGGTTTGCTTTCATTCTATGAAATGAAATGGGGGGCACGCCCCTCAATTTGAAAAAAAATGATTTGCTAGTTGTTTACATATAGGTACTACTATCTTTTTTTTTCAGTTTTTGGCTCTATGATGGCTTTTTAATGCATTGAATATGACCGTTGTTCTAATTGGTAAAAACTTAGTAGTAGCTTGGAACAATCTTGTGCACGCCTAGCCAATGTTTAGCTAGAGGGTGAGGTGATCTCTAAGACAATCTTGTGGCTTTTAGATGGAACTAGCAGGCGCAAGCACGGCACCATGCAGCGCATGTCCTGAAGCTTTTTCATATTTGTACTCAGGCTAAGGATGAAAAGAAATACACACAGATTTTTTTTTAAATATCGATGAACTCAATATAGTCTAACACATCAGGCAACATATTATCCCTTTGAAACATAGCAAGAAAAAAATGCACGTTCTACCATTTAATAAACTCACGGTTCAGTACAAAAGTGTGGCCACACCGCAAGAAGTCTGAAATTTTGATCATAACAATGAACCCACGGTTCATTACATTCAGACATAGATAGTTGCAACATCTATGCGGAGAAGTCTGTTCACTACAAAAATGTGGTCCGACCGCAAAATGTCTGAAAATTTGGTTCTCAAAATAATACAGGGTAGCTATCTATACTGAATTAGGCCAGCAAAAAGAACGATAACTGAAGCTTTAGCTACCCACTGAATCAGACCAAGCAAAAACCAACAACTGAAAGAACTCCGCCGCTCCAAACCTGTGGATATTACCTTCCATCCACGGTGCAACAAAACAAATTTTCGGAAGTCAAATTGCACATCTGTTTAACAAAGGAGTAGTAATTACAAAGGGTCTGGCTCGCCTGGAGCCTTCTTGATCAAAAATATTCAATCTGCAATTTGGCTGATCACCAGAATCAACAATATATAACTGAGCAAATTTAGGAGCCTCATTGTCCAAGGGCATAAGAGAATCAATTCTGTATGGTAGACAGAGCCCCCCATATTACAACCGTAAGGCACATTTCCCATATTTATGTTGTCATCAACAGGAGCATCAAGTGAGGTGAAACAAAACATAGCATTATAAGTACCTAACCAGACGTAAAAATTTCAGTTGATGCAGTACCACCATTAAAGCAGAGCAAATATTTCAATGGGAAAGGCCACTCAGGAAACACTGGTAAGGAAACCTTTCTTGCACAACAACAATCATTGTACATTGGTAAAAAATAAAAAGTGAAAAGATAGAAGGTAAACCTCGAGAAGCGACACAGGATGCTTTCCTTCACGAATATCTCGGCGGCATCGCCGGACTTCAGAAGAATTCAGATGTCCTCCACGTACAATTAAGTGTGACAAGCAATTTCTCTGGAGCAAAATCAAAGGAAATTACTCACCAACAACATTAAAATCCGGCATCAAATCATCAATAATGGATAATAGATTATGCAGTATTTATTCACATGTTGTATTTCCTAGTGTTGCTCCTCCTATAATTAATAGAAATCCACTTCCAACAATAAGACTTTTGAAAGTTTTGCTATTATAACATGTATGTTTTTTTCCCTTTTCTTGGAGCAATATAATTGCTTCAGTGGGTTCATTTCGCACTGGTCTTGATGTGGATTGTTAGTTGTACTTTTTATTCGTAAAAATCACTTCGTATTTTTATGAGTCGCCGTGGAAACAATTTCGTCTAGATCGAGAGACCAAACTTGTTTGGTTGGGATAGTTCAATATATAAAAGTTGTCCGATTTTAAAGTTGGGTGACAAAAACCACATGAGTCAATAAGTGTAAGGACAAAAATGAACATTTCTACAAATTGATATAATTATGAAAATAAGTTACTACCTTCGGTGCAAAAAGATACAGGCATACCGCTTGACATGAACGGTGCCTATCTTACAAACCAACAAGGAAAAGACACATGCATAACTTGCCATAGTGCACGCACGCATGACAATCAAACCCTGGATCTTTGTGCTAGCTACGTTTTCTCCCACGGGCAGATTTGAGGAGCTCTGGCAGCACCAAAGGGCAGCTTGCCACTAGGTGCCTATACCCCTCAGTCGCCATAACAACATCAAGAGTCGTGGAAATTCCAAAAATGAACTCCAAACATTTAGCCTTGAGAAGCGATGAAACTATGCCGCTCCGCAGAAGCCAGAGTGGTCGCTGTCGTGTTGACACTGAGTCCATCTGAGAGCTTGTACTCAAAAATTAGCTTGAGCCTGTCTAGCGCGTACCTGTCAGCAGCCGCAAGTAGATGCTGAGTCGTAACCATCACCATCTTCGGTCGCATCTGTGTATATGAAGTACAACATGACCTTGAAAGCCTCCGGGTCCATGTCATTGATCTCAAAGTGTCGAGACCTATTCTCTCTCACTTGGCAGAAGAACTCGGCCATAAGCACTGGGGACCTTGCTTTCATGGCACACTGTAATGATACAAAGTAGTGTAGCGAACCAGTCTATGATAGCATAATCAAGCCGGGTGACGTGAACATTTTAAAAACATTTTTTGAAGTTATGATCAATTTTTGAAAACACGAACATTTTTTATAATTGTGAATATTTTTTGGAGGCATGTATTTTATAAAACTCTGATAATTTTTGGGAAAATACATCAAATTTTAAAACGTGAACATTTCTGAAAATTTGTGAAAAAAAGTAAAATTTCAATCATTTTTTAAAAAGAAAACGTATTTTGAAAATATACAAAAAAGAATTTTCAAGCAAAATTTGAAAGTCAGAACATTTTTGGAAACTGTGAACATTTTGTATGAAAAATAAACAATTTTTGAAAAGCTCGAACAAATGTTGAAATTCTAAACCTTTTTCTAAATTTCTGAATATTTTTTAAAGAAGAAAAAGAAAACCACTGAAAAAGGAAAAAAGACAAAACTGAAAACCAAACAGCAAAACCGCAAAAACGCTACACTTACACTGGTAGAAAAAACCCGACAAAACTTCTAAACAGAAGCTTCTAGAATGTTCCTAAACCGACAGAAAACCAAAAAACGCTACACTTACAGTGGCTAAACATGGGCCGGCACATCCCCGAGCGCTCCCGTTGCTCATGTGTGCGAAAGGGAGCAACGGGAGTGCTTGTGGCGAAATTGGCAAAATCTGGAGGGGCAAAAACAAAATTTTCCCTGCATTAAATAGCTCTCATTTTTTCTAAAAAAATAGCCCTCACTTGCCTTAAAAAAAGAGCCAAATGGCCCTAAAAACTGGAGCGTGCTACGCGTCGGCCGGCGGATGTTTTAAAAAGATCCGTCGCCTCGCGGGCCATTCGATTGTGTGATTAGTATCTCTTCTCTAAATTCCTACAACAATACTCTTGTTGCGAAACTTTCCTTTCTCTAATTTTCTGCAATAAAACCTTTGTTGCGAAACCTTCCCTTCACTAATTTTCTTCTTCTCTAATTTTTCGCAGCAAGATTTTTGTTGTAAACATTGTAAACACATCTCCCGTCACGACTAATTTTCTGTAATAAGACCCTTGTTGTGAAAATTACAACAACATCTTCGGCCGTATCGTGCACTAACGCAATCGTCTTTTGCTGCTGTCATTCTGCAACAACGTTGTTATTGCAGAAACTTGAAGTGGATGGACGTACCGCGTGGTGATATGGCTGCTGGCCCGCTTGCTAGCGTCGGTGGTGCCAGGATGGCGTTGAGGTTGATGGTGCTC